AGCTAGGGGATCACAAACTTGGCATGACAGACAGACCCCAGGATAGTTCCTGTGTTCATGTCCTGCTTAATTTCCTCCTTTTGAATGTAGGCAGGACCTCTGACTTGCTTCTAATCAATAGACTATGGCAAAGGTGATGGGCTATCACTTCAAAGATTATGTTTTAATTAGATAGATAGATGACAGATAATAGATAGATGGTAGATAGATAGATTCTGTCTCTGGTCTTAAGTAAGCTGTCATGCAATGAACTGCCTATGGAGAGGATCACAAGGTAAGAACTATAGTGGCCTCTAACAGCTAAGGGTCTCAGTCCTACAACCACAAGCAACTGAATTCTGCAAACAACCATGTGGACTTGGCAGAGAACCCCTGGCCTCAGGTGATGTTACTATAGCCTTGTGAGATCCTGAGCAGAAGAGCTAAACTGTACCTCAGTTTATTGTGCTTTTCCGATTATTGTATTTTCTACAAATTGAAGATTCATGGCAACCCTGCATTATCAGATGGTTAGTATTTTGGGGCAATAAAGTATTTTTAAATTAAGCTATATATATATAAATATTTGTTTTAAATTTATTTTAAGGTTTGCTTTTTAAAAATATTTCTTTTTCTTCACCAGGCCTTAGTTGCAACATGCAAACTCTTAACTGGGGAATGTGGGATCTAGTTCCCTGACCAGGGGTTGAACCTCAGACCCTTGCGTTGGGAGCGTGTGGTCTTAGGCACTGGACCATCAGGGAAGTCCTTGTGCACTTGTTTTTATTTCATTTTTAAAAATAATTTTATTTATGTATGTTTGGCTGCCCTGGGTCTTTGCTGCTGCGAGGGTGTTTCTCTGGCTGCAGAGAGAAGGGGCTCCTCTCGTGGCGGTGTGCCGTCTTCTCCGCGCGCTTCTCTCATTGCGGACCACAGGCTCTAGGGCGCCCGTGCTTCAGCAGCTGCGGTGCGTGGATTCAATGGTTGCGGCTGCCAGGCTCCAGAGCACAGGCTCAACAGTTGTGGCACATGGGCTTAGTTGCCCCGTGGCATTTGGGATCTTCCCTGCCCAGGGATGGAACCTGTGTCTCCTGCATTGGCAGGCAGAGTCTTTACCACTGAGCCACCAGGGAAGCCCTACGTTTGTTTTTAGATATGATGCTATTGTTATCGAAAGGAGTGTGGGGTCTGGCTGCTCACCGCTCAACAGCCAAATAAACAGGCCAGGATGGTGGAGAGGAAAGTTTCCTTTAATTTCAGATGATGGCGATGAGGGTGGGGCTGGAAGGGGAAGTAGGGGGTGGGGATGAAGGGCAGACTTCTGTCTCCCTTCAGACTCCCTACACACACCCCCGACTGGCAACCGGTGGGGCAAGAGCTTTTATAGGCTGAGGGAGGGGGTTACATGCAGAAACGGTACAGTCAGCTCTGACAATCAGCATCAAACTGGTCATCAGTGGTCTGACCAGCATCATCTTGGTGGTTTGAGTTGCAGTTAATCTTCAGTTCCAGGGTCCATTTGTTCCCGCTTCCTTGAGGACAGTTCTTGAAATTGTGGCAGCTTATGTCGTGGGGACAGCCTGTTCATCACATAGTTAATTCTCCCACCTGGACTTTCAGTGTCTGTAAGACAGCTCACAGGATTTGACTCAGAATGTTACCTATAGTTCTTGAAAAGGAACTTAACAGCCTTGACTATGCCTAATGAATACATTATTATTATTTGGTCTCCTTTGATGGTTTTCCTTTTTTTTTTTTATATTCTCATTTCTCTGATTAAACTTATTATTTGACTAAAGTTTTTCACAGACAGAAGGCAGGCAGAGGACATGAGGGGAAAGACCATAGGGTCCTACTCTATTTGACCATTGCATACTTAATAGACTATAGCATAGTGTAAACAGCTTTTATATGACCTGGGAAACCAAGAAATTTATGTGACTCAATTGACCGAGATACTTGCATTATTGTCATAGTCTGGAACCAAACCCCAAATAGCTCTGATGTATGCTTCTACTAATTTATGACCCACAGAAACTGTGATATAATAAATCTCAGTGTCATTTTAAACCCTGTTTGTGGTAATTATTATACCACACACACAAAAAAAAAACCCAGCGGGGAAAGGGCCAGCTCCCAAGAACAGGCTCCAAATTGTAGGTTGGCTCTGGTACTTGGTGTCTGGGGCTAATGAAGTTAAGGTTTTCCCATGTGGCCCATCTACATTTCTTGGGTACTTTTCCCTCCAGTAAATGTATCCTAACCTAACAAGGTCTTCTACATAAAAAACACTCAAAAAATGCAACAGCTCCGAACACACTGTTCTGCCGAGTTTCATGACCTTTTATTGGTCTTCGAGTCTTTAGAAATACCTTGTATGGAGCATTCATTCCAGATTCCATTGACTTGGAGACAAACTGGCTGTCCTCACTGGGAGCACCGTCATTGTACTTACAGACAAATTGGGCCTTCACAGTAGAGAAGCTTGTTTCCTAGTATTCCGGTTATTTGTCATCCCTTCCTTGTTTTCATTTGACATTCAAAATATATGCCTTCCTCTGAAATTTCTAGAAGAATAGATGAGTGAGGATAGCAAATTAGACTTTGTTGGGCCTTTTTGCCCAGTGATATTTCAAAACACGTTTTTATGGAAAAAAGAGAGCTTGTTTACCTGAAGCCGTTTGTAGTTTTTGTCTTTTGTGCCAAGAAATTCTCTGAAACCAGCCTACAATTTTCTTTTCCTTTTTTTAGAAACTTTTTATTTTGTATTGAGGTATAGCCAGTGAACAACATTGTGATAGTTTGGGGTGAGCAGCGAAGGGACTCAGCCATACATATACATGTATGCATTCTCTCCCAAACTCCCATCCCATCCAGCCTGCCACGTAATATTCAGCAAGGTTCTCTGTGCTATTCATAGCACAAGGACAGGACCTTGTTGGTGATCCATTTAAATATAGCAGTGTGTATAGGCAATCATAGGTTCATTCTCTAAGTCTGTGAGTTTCTGTTTTGTTAAGTTCATTGTATCATTTCTCTTTAGATTCCACATGTGAGGGTTCTTACAGGAAATTCCCTTCTCTGTCTGACTTACTTCTCTCAGTGTGACAGTCTCTAGGTTCATCCATGTTGTTGCAAATGGTATTATTTCTTTCTTTTATTTTTTTTGTCATTTATTTTTATGAGTTGGAGGCTAATTACTTTACAATATTGTAGTGGTTTTTGCCATACACTGACATGAATCAGCCATGGATTTACATGTGTTCCCCATCCCGATCCCCCCTCCCACCTCCCTCCCCATCCCATCCCTCTGGGTCTTCCCAGGGCACCAGCCGTGAGCACTTGTCTCATGCATCCAACCTGGGCTGGTGATCTGTTTCACCCTTGATAGTATACTTGTTTTAGTGCTATTTTAATGGACACCAGCCGACAATTTAACTTAATTTTGACACTATCTGTCCAGAGAAAGCATCAGACCCCACAGGTGAAGGGCTCAGTCCTACAAGAATGTCCCTGTCCTCCCACCCCCACCCCACTGCAGAAGCTAGTGGCAACTCCGGGGTTGCCATCTGTTCTTCTGACCAACAGGCTATAGGTTGGGTGTTTCAATGACTTCCTTCCTGGGTTCAATTACTTTTCCAGAGCAACTCACAGAAATCAGAGAAACATTTTACTTACTAGATCACTAGTTTATTATGAAAGGATACAACTCAGAAACAAAAGTAAGAAATTCATAGGACACGGTATGTGGAAGGGACATGGAGTTTCCTTGCCCTCTCCAAGGACACAACTCTCCCAGTGCCTCCACGTGTTTACCAGCCCAGCAGCTCTCCAAATCCCATCATTCTGGGTGTTTGTGGAGGGTTCATTCAAAGGCAATGATCAAATCACTAGCCATGGGCTACAGATTCAACCTCTATCCCCTCTCCCCTCCCATGTGGTCTAAGGGGGGACTGAAATTTCCACCCTCCAATCACAGTGTTGGTTCCCCTGGCAACCAGCCCCATCCTTAGGTGACCCGGGGACCATCAAAATATACTTCATTAATAAAAGACATCTTGATCTGTCTCACCACTTAGGCAATTCTGAGGGTTTTAGAAGTTCTGTGCTAGAAACGGGAATGAAGACCAAATACATATTTCTTATTATAAATCACAATATCCCAGTCCACTTCCTGCTCTTCACACATTCTTCCCTTATAGCAAAGCAATCACACAGGTCAAAAGACACTGGCACCTCACTAGAACTTCTCTCAGTCGTTAGTAACTATCCAGTCTGTCATCATATGGTATGAAAGTGTCTCCCAGGGCAAGGCCACTCAGGTTTGCAGGCTTCTATTTCTAGCTTGTCAGCTACACTGTAGCAGTGGGGGTGGGTTTTTTGCTCAGTCGTGTCCGACTCATCGCGACCCCACAAACTGTAGCCCATCAGGCTCCTCTAACCACGGGATTCTCCAGGCAAGAATACTGGAGTGGATTGCCATTCGCTTCTCCAGAGGATCTTCCTGACCCAGGGATCGAACCCAGGTCTCCTGCACTGCAGGCAGATTCTCTAGTCTAGCAAGTGGCCCCCTCCCTCCCTCCTCCACCCCCACCGCACCCTGTTACACAGGCTCCCTTTACCATCTGGCAATATGACTGCATTCACTGTTCAACCCAATTTTGCGCATCCCACCCCATCAGGCCTTTAGGAATTCTGTCTGACATAAAGGTTAAGAACACACTTACTGCAGTGCGCTCAGTGGTCCTGTGGATCTGTCTCTTGCTTCTGTTCCTGTGGAGCAGGCCCTGGGATGCCCCGTGCACAAGCCTCCGACCACCCTCCAACACTTTTTCCAGTTGCAACCCTGGAATCAGCCGCTCAGCTATACTCAGCTGCCACGACCAGCCAGCACCACTTTCTGAGCTTAGCTTCTTATTGCAGATCAACCATGAGCTCCCAGATACGTCAGAATTATTCCACCCAGGTGAAGCACTGTCAACTGCCTGGTCAACATGCAACTGTTGGCCTCCTACCATTACCTCTCTCTGGGCTTTTATTTCATCCACAAAGATGTGGCTCTTGAGGACGAGGGCCACTTTTTCCACAAACTGGCCGAGGAGAAGCACCAGGGTGCAGGAGCACCTCTGGTAAACACGAAGCCAGTGCAGAGGCTGCGCCCTCTTTCAGGACGTGCAGAAGTGTCTCAAGAGAAGTTAGGAAAATCCAGGAAGCTCTGGAAGCCTCCCTTCTCATGGAGAAGAAGTGGAAGCAGCCCTTTTGGGTCTGCATGGCCCCACCTCTATGACTTACAGAGAGCCACGTCCTAGAAGATGGGAGACCACCTGATCAACAATGTCTGCAGGCTGGCTGGTCCCCAGGCTGTGTTGGGAGAATATTTCTTTGAAAGGATCACCCTCAGTTATGGCTAGGAGCCTCTGAAACTGAGCTGCCTTTCAGGAGCTCCCCTGATATCCGGGCTTCTGCCTGAAGCCCCTCTATGCAGCCACTAGGCAGCTTTCTAACCACCCTGGAGCCCTCTCCCAAGCCTTGGACTGAATGGAAGTAATAAAGCTTTTTGCAGAAAAAACAAAACAAAAACATACTTAATAGTTTTTTCTTGCTGAGGCCCTTGTAGGTGTAGCCCTGATCCTGCTACCACTGAAGGAAAAAAAGGAAGAAAGAAAAAGTTGAGGCGATGGGGAGACAGGAGAAAGAATACCCACATCCTTCCTTACTCTGCCTGAAAACAGACATTCCTTTAGCCCCACTCATGTTCACATTGAGTGTGAGCACAAGCTCATGAAGGCATATAAGCCAGCCCTTCGTGCTTTAACCTCCCCACTTTAGGTAACCAATGGTTTAACTGCCTGTTCCAATTTTCTAGCTAACTAGTACTCAGAGGAGGCTCTCTGTCCATTGTTGGATACTATGGGATATAACGTTTGGATAGTATGGATATAATGGGTGTATACAAATATAATGTTCATCTGTTCCTTGGTCTGAAGAAATGATGTTCAGCTGTCCACCTTGGCTCAATATTTCCTGTTCTGGTTCTTTTATAGGGTCCTGAATGTTTGCATCTCCACTGGGTAAGAAAAGTTCAATATAGAGTTGGTGTCTATTACTGTCTGAACCCATTTCAACCCCTACCCTCACCTCCCCACCCTACCCCACCTCCCCCAGACTGCCAACATCAGTCTCACTTGTCAGCTGCCTTCAGAGCCTTTTCACCAAAGGTATCTGCCATGTAGCCATTTGCAGTCTGTCTCTTCTCAACTGAAAGAAAACACACAATTTGAGAGTCATAAGTTAAGCTTTCAGTTCAGTCGGTCAGTCGTGTCTGATTCTTTGTGACCCCATGGACTGCAGCACACCAGGCCTCCCTGTCCATCACCAGCTCCCGGAACTTGCTCAAACTCATATCCATCGAGTCGGTGAGGCCATCCAACCACCTCATTCTCTGTTGTCCCCTTCTCCTCCTGCCTTCAATCTTGCCCAGCATCAGGGTCTTTTCCAATGAGTCACTTCTTTGCATCAGGTGGCCGAAGTTAAGCTTTATTAAGGGTCTTTCTAAGGATGATAGCCTGGGGGACGGCCTCTCAGTAGCTCTGAGAAACTGCTCCCAAGAAGTCAGGGCAGGTTGTGGTGGTTGCTTATGTATGATTTTTTAAAAACTGGGGGGAGGTGGGCTACAAAACAGATGCAGTCAAGCATTCATCTTGGTAAGAGATGATGGCTAGTCACAAAGAGCAGACATTCAAGATAATGACTACAGTGCTTTTCCGTGTGTGGGAAACTACAAGAAGCTGGGTTCATTAAAATTCTTCCTGAGATACATGTGACTCTCTAAGGGGCCTGTTTGTCCAAAGCACAGAGCATCCTGCCCTTAATTTCCTCTGTCTGAAGCACAGAGCCCTTCATCCCATTATCACGTTGATCTCTTCTCTCTGAAGCACAGGGTGCACTGCGGGTCAGTGACTGAATCTCTGTAGATTTGGATGGTGAGCAAAACATTCTCTCTTCTTTCACTTGCACTCTCTTGTTGGCAGACAGAACGGTTCTCATTGATATTGTATGCCTCAGATGGTAAGGGAGGACAGTGTCCAGATTCAGCCCATCCCTGCATTGCTGAAGCACCCATGACCTGCTTTCATGGGCGCAGGTGGCCACTTTAAGTGAACACATGGGGAGATTTTTCTCATTGACTCCAGTTGCCTTCCAAATCTGGGGCCCAACATGCTCTTCTTTAATGTACCCCTCAAATTTCTATAGTGATTGCCACAGAGCTATGGAGCATGCAGACATCCCTTTAACGGGCCGGGTTTCCACTGCCCTTCTGCCTGACCATATGGCCTGGCCACTGGCCACTGCCCATGAGTCAGTAAAAACCCAAACCCTGGGGTTGTTAACACTGTTCAGTTCTTACCACTGCTGGGAAGACAGTCTGCCATTCATCCCGCTGAGCTGAATTCTCCGGAGTCGTGGCCTTCCAAACCGGATGTTGTCCATTTACCCTGGAACCGCCATCCGTAAACCGCTGGCTCTTTCCCCATAAGTACTCACAGGGCTCTGTCCACAGGGCTGGTTCCAGCAGCTCCTCAGGTGGCTCCAAAGTCAGTTCTAGAGGAAGAGTCTCCCTGATTGTGTCTCCTCTCTGCATTCCCCAGACAGCATGATCTTGTACTAACCCTTTACATACTATTACCGAATTCCTCTGGGCACTGCCAGCCCCATTTGGGCATTTCTCCAGCATCATCCTAGACACTGTGGGTATTTCAGATGTCAAGACCGTTTTCTGCCCTTCACTCGCAGGAGTAGTTTCAGTTAATAACGCCCAGTGGCAGTCTTCCTTGGTGGTCCTCTGGTTAAGACTCTGCCAACCTTTTACTTTAATTCCTTTAACTTCTTTAGTTACTTTAACTCTTACGTTTCCATCCTTACATTTTTATGTTTTCTCAATGAATTGTAGCCTGAGCCTGGGCTTCCCTGATGGGTCTTGGTACCACAGTGTCTGGGGTTTCTATATCAAGAGGTCCTTGGAAATGTCTCTTTTTTATCCACTGACCATTTTACTTACTTTTGTGCGAAAGGCTGTGAAGGATGAGTTAAGGGACCCTGGCCCCCTCATCAATCTGTATATTGATTACTTGGCCTAACTGCTGCCCCAAGCAATTGCTAGTTAGGTTCAGCTGGTGAAGAACTCGCCTGCAAGGCAGGAAACCAGAGTTTGATCCCTGGGTTGGCAAGATCCCCTGGAGAAGGGAAAGGCTACCCACTCCAGTATTCTGGCCTGGAGAATTCGACGGACTGTATAGTCCATGGGGTTGCAAAGAGTCGGACACAACTGAGCGACTTTCATTTCACTTCACTTCAATTTTTCACTGTAATCTGTACCTTCTGGTTGTGTAAATTTCATTGTAAATAGAGCAGACTATTTACTATTTATTGTTTTGGGCCCTTTAAAATTGGGGGACCTGAAGGGGGTCTCTTTGGTAGTGCTGTGTTAAAGCTTTGCTTTAACCCCATTAATGCCTGTTTCATTCTTCCCATTTCTATATAACCCACTAAAGTTTCCCGTGCTGCTGGAATGAATCCCATGACAGTGGAGTGTGTTTCTCTCTAAATAAATCCACTTCTTATCTATCACTTTGTCTATCACTGAATTCTTTCTGCAATGAGACATCAAGCTTCAACTTGGTGCTCTATGACAAACTAGAGGAATGGGAGGGCGGGAGGGGACGTGTATATACCTATGCCTGATTCTTGCTGATGTTTAGCAGAAACCAACTCAACATTGTAAAGCACATATCCTCCAATTAAAAATAAATTTTTTATACCTATGGCTGATTCATGTTGGTGTTTGGCAGAAACCAACACAATTCTGTAAAGCAATTATCCTTCAATTAAAAAATAAATAATTTTTTAAAAAGATAAACAATAAATAAAAAATAATTTTTTAATATCTGTGGCTGATTCATGTTGATGTTGGGCAGAAACCAACACAATTCTGTATAGCAATTATCCTTCAATTAAAAAATAAATAAAATTTTTTTAAATGTTAAAAAAATAAAAATACTTAAAATATTTTTTAAAAAAGAAACTGAGCTTCATTAAGTCTTGAAATCAAGTGTGTGATTTTAAAAGACCATGGGCTCAAAAGTCTACAAGCAATAAATGCTGGAGAGGGTGTGGAGAAAAGGGAACCCTCTTACACTGTTGGTGGGAATGCAAACTAGTATAGCCGCTATGGAGAACAGTGTGGAGATTTCTTAAAAAACTGGAAATAGAACTGCCATATGACCCAGCAATCCCACTTCTGGGCATACACACTGAGGAAACCAGATCTGAAAGAGACACATGCACCCCAGTGTTCATCGCAGCACTGTTTATAATAGCCAGGACATGGAAGCAACCTAGATGCCCATCAGCAGATGAATGGATGAGGAAGCTGTGGTACATATACACCATGGAATATTACTCAGCCATTAAAAAGAATTCATTTGAATCAGTTCTAATGAGATGGATGAAACTGGAGCCCATTATACAGAGTGAAGTAAGCCAGAAAGATAAAGACCATTACAGTATACTAACGCACATATATGGAATTTAGAAAGATGGTAATGATAACCCTATATGCAAAACAGGAAAAGAGACACAGATGTACAGAACAGACTTTTGGACTCTGTGGGAGAAGGCAAGGGTGGGATGTTTCAAGAGAACAGCATTGAAACATGTATATTATCAAGGGTGAAACAGATCACCAGCCCAGGTTGGGTGCATGAGACAAGTGCTCGGGCCTGGTGCACTGGGAAGACCCAGAGGGATCGGGTAGAGAGGGAGGTGGGAGGGGGGATCGGGGTGGGGAATACATGTAAATCCATGGCTGATTCATGTCAATGTATGACAAAAACCACTACAATATTGTAAAGTAATTAGCCTCCAACTAATAAAAATAAATGAAAAAAGAAAATAAAATAAAAGACCATGGGCTCAAGTCCTAATCTGAGTTACACAGTTTCACTATGAGCTGGATAAAGGGCATATTCTTCGGCTCAGAAGGTAAAGAATCCACCTGCAATGCAAGAGACACAGGAGACGCTGGTTCGATCCCTGGATTGGGAAGATCCTCTGGAAGAGGGAATGGCAACCCACTCCAGTATTCTTGCCTGGAGAATCCTATGGACAGAGGAACCTGGCGGGCTACAGTCCTCAGGGTTGCAAGTTGTCAGAAACAACTGAGCAACTGACACACCACCAGCTGGGTAAAGGGCACATTCAGTGGATGAACATCCTGATCATCACAAAGCCGTTTCGAGGAGCCTTGCATATCAGCTGCTTTTTGTGTCCTACTTTGGTATTCATAGGGGGAGACAGATAGTTTACCTTTTCAGGATAAACAGGCCTCACAGTGGTTTTTATCCAGTCCACCAGACTGGCTGTTCCCTCAAGGATAACCTCCAGTTTGTCTGGATCACAAATCACCCTCTGGGTTTGCTCTAGCACCCTGTGGGTCCTGAATCAACCCAAACATGCTCCTCCCCTCCATAGCATTCAGAACCAAAGACACAGACCCCAAATGAGTTACTCCCACAATCATTTCAATAACAATTCTTTAGGGAGCTGATGATACCAATCATCAATGGTTCAACTCTTTCACACTGATGAAATACAATTCCTATTTTATGGCAAGACAAGATATATTTAAACATAAAATTTTCCTTGCCCATTTGGGCCTTCTCTCTCCCCTTTTAGTGTGTGCTGTGCATCTGTATTAAACCAGACATCCTTAGGAGATAAACTTCTTCAGAACTCACAAGGAGGTAATCTTCCTTCTTAATCTTGTAAGGGACTGCGATGACTCATGACCCACTACTCATTTTGTACATTTAGATCTAGATTGTGTAAATTGTCAGTGATATGTAGTCATTTAATGTACAAACCTCTGTCTCAAAATTTATGTAACTGTGCTTTGACCTCTAACAGGCAGAACAGTTCTTGGAGCTTTCTGAGAAGATGCTCCCAGGTTATAAACTTCAGTTTGGCTTGAATAAAAATTTCCATTTCTTTTTAGATATACTGATTAATTTTTTTTTCATCAACAGCCCTACACCCCCAGGTTTCAACAGTTTTTTGGTTTTTCCCTTCCCCTCTCCCCCGCACCAACTACCTTTTTAGAGATTAGAGGTCTTTGAGGTCCTTTCTGTTGTCCCCACACAGTTTTTACCTCAAAGGACAAAGTTAGGGGCCAAAACTCAGACTGCCCAAAATCTGAGCTTGGTCTGGCATCAGGGTCTGACTCAGCACTTTCAGTCTCATTTAGGAATTCAGAGTAACTGCGGCACAGCTGCTGCTCCACACGGCTGGTGACCACGTGGCCACCCAGGAGTCAGAAGCTCTTCATCCCTTGCCCTTTCATCCCTTCACTTTCCAAACCACATATGTGGATGAGTCAAGCCTGTTCGAGCAGATTCTACTTCTCTGACACCAACTGAAGGTCTGGTCACCAGTTTAAACATGTGTGTGTATAGGCGTGGTCCCCACAACCCACAAGCGGTTCTTCAAATGCAGCTGTGTATGCTACAAGTTAACCTGATTCGGACACTATCTTCCTGGAGACACTGGCAGATCCCACAGGTTAAAGGCTCAGTTCTACAAGAGGCTCTCCACCCTGCCCCCAACACACTTCAGAGGCAAGTCGTAAGTCTAGGTTGTCCCTTGTCCTTCTGACCAAGCTGATACAGATTGGAAGCTCCAATGACTCCCTCCTTGGGCTCAATTAATTTGCTAGAGCAGTTTACAGAACTCAGAAGAGCATTTACTCACTAATTCAGTTCAGTTCAGTTCAGTCCCTTAATCGTGTCCAACTCTTTGTGACCCCATGGACTGCAGCACGCCAGGCTTTCCTGTCCATCACCAACTCCCAGAGCTTGCTCAAACTCATGTCCATTGAGTCGGTGGTGCCATCCAACCATCTTATCCTCTGTCGTCCCTTTCTCCTCCTGCCTTCAATCTTTCCCAGCATCAGGGGCTTTTCAAATGTCAGTTCTTTACATCAGGTAGTCAAAGTATTGGAGCTTCAGCTTCATCAGTCCTTCCAATGAATATTCAGGACAGATTTCCTTTAGGATTGACTGGTTGGATCTCCTTGCAGTCCAAGGGACTCTCAAGAGTCTTCTCTAACACCACATTTCAAAAGCATCAATTTTTCAGCACTCAGCTTTCTTTATGGTCCAACTCTCACATCCGTACATGACTACTGGAAAAACCATAGCTTTGACTAGACGGACCTTTGCTGGTAAAGTGATGTCTCTGCTTTTTAATATAGTGTCTAGATTTGTCATAGCTTTTCTTCCAAGGAGCAAGCGCCTTTCTCTAGTTGCAGCACATGGGTTTATTGCCCCAGGTTATGTGGGATCTTAGTTACCAGATTAGAAATCAAACCTGTAGTCCCTGTATTGGAAGGTGAATTCGTAACCAGTGGATCACCAGGTAAAGCCCTATATTTCTTATTATAAATCAATATCACAACACCCCATTAGAAAAACTGATAGAGGATTAAATCATGTAAATCATGGAAGAAGAGATGTAATTGACTAGTACTATGAAAACATAATGATAGC